ATAAAGGCTTGCAGTTTATCATTCTTAATAGCTGAATAATACTCCATTGTGTAAAAATACCACATCTTTCTCAACCATTCCTCAGGTCCAATCACACAGTCTTAGAAGCCATACAGCTGGCTTTTCCTGGGCATGGATCACTGTGAGTTCAATGCCAGCTTGGACTATTTACTGAGTGTGCGATCAGAGTGAACTACATAGATCCTGGCTCAAAGAGAGAGAGAGAGAGAGAGAGAGAGAGAGAGAGAGACTCATCAAAAATTCACCCTTTGTTATCAAAGTATATTTATATTATTCATAGTTCCATGAAACCATGTAAGATAGTTTACAAAAGAGTTCAGTTCAGTACGTGATTCCCAACCCCTGCCACTCCTGCTGTTTCTAATTCCATTCTCTGTAAACACACAGAGTATATATGTCTGTATTCTTTATGAACATAGTATGAGGGTGTTCACTGGAGGATACCTCGATGAGCCCAGCTTCAGCAGAGGTGGCAGTGCTTATCGTACTGGAGAATGGGGACTTAGGGGTGACACATAGTGTGCCCATGCTCTGGCTGGCCCTGGGACTCGGCACTGGAGGCTGGCCACGTGCCCCGCATTGTTCTCACGCTCTCCCTGTAAGTGTGTGTACTGCTGACACCAGCCCTATGATACGTCTCTTCTTATTCTCATTTAGCATAGCAGGAAGCATACCAAGAGTGACACCATAATTCATTCAAGGTCGCACGGCTGGCCACACATGCACAAATACTGCTATAAATTATTATCTTCATCGTTACTGTTTGCGGGTAGTGAGGGCCCGTGGAGAGTCCATGGAGGGCGTTATCCTTGCAATGAAGTCAACCACACTGGATCTAATGGACATGCTGACCTTCACAGGGCTTCGGATACAGGTTTTTCTCAGTAGGATTCTGTCCAAGCTAATTAGCCACATGCAGAGAGGCTGAATGGTTCTCCTTGCAGGTTGGCTCCTTCCTGCTGTTCCTCTGGAGCCCTCTCCTGCGGGACACCTAGCTGTTTAGAGAAATCACATTGGGTGGGTGGACAATGAGACCTGGCTAGCAAGAGTCCCTAGAGGGGAGACCAGGGTCAGGGCTCCTGAATGTCATGCAGAGGTGGGAGGGATGGATGAGCATGCTCAGGTGACACCCACAGGGATGGTGATGATGCCAGGGACCTCTGTGGGTGCCTGACCCTCAGAGGGTGGTAGTGAGTCTTGGCACAAGATGGGTGGCAGCACAGTGAGCATGTGCTTCTGGAGTCTGCACTGAGCCTTCACACCACAGCCCTCGGGTAGCTGTGGGCTCTGCCTGCAGACCCAGAGCTGGCCTCAGTGGACCAGTGTGTCAGGCTCCTGCAAGGCCAAGGCTCCTTTGACCTCTGAGCCTGAACTGTAGTGTCCTTTGTGCTGGCCTGTGCCCAGTGTGCACATCAGGGTTCCCTTCTCCTTCTCCCTTAAGCCCTTGCCACATGTCCAGGAGCAGTTCATGGCCTCCACACCCTGGACCTCCTACAGCCCCTCAACATTCTTGCATCTTCCCCACGGTCTGGCTGACTTGGGCCTGGTCTTTGGATCTGACCACATGGAGGCCAGACTTTTGCTTCCAACACTTGAGTAGAGGCTTCCCACAGCTGCTTAGCTACCTGTGGGGACAGCATGGTGCACCAGGGCCTGTGGCACACTGTGCAGTGGGGATCCTTATAGACCAGATCCCAACTGTTCTAAATAAGCCATCAGCTCCTTCACTGTGTGATTCCCAAGTGCATCTCCTGGCTCACCTCTGTGTTCCTAAGATGCCAACAGAGCAAGCCATAAGCTGTAGCTCAGCCAGAGATGCGGAGCTATTTCCTGCCCTGTCACTGCTTATCACCCTTTGTGGCTTTGATGAGCCTCTATCAGCATGGAATTCCAAGGTCCTGAAGGCCATGGTCAGGCCTCACTCATCCTTGCTTCTCTCTGGCAGCCTTCAGACCCACTTGTTGGACTGAGAATTATACCAATTAAGTGAATGTCAGGGTACGACAGGGGTACACTTGTTGGGTGCTGTTGTTAATCTGGGTGGGTGATTAAGAATACAAAAGAAGGGCTGGTGAGATAGCTCAGTGGATTAAGCACCTGCTTTGGCAAGCGCAGGGACCAGGGTTCAATCCCTTGTCCCACATGCATCACCAGCCCTACGCCTGGGGTGCACTGAGCTAGCCACCGAGACCGGGTGTGGTGGCTTATGCCTATAATCCCAGTGCTGGGGATGCTGAAAACAGGAGGATCACTGTGAGACTGAGCTGCACAGTGAGACCCTGTACCAAATACATAAAATGAAGAAAAAACATAATAAAGACAAAAGACAAGAAATACAATGTTTGAAAGCAAAATAATATGTAGCACTTAATATTTTTTAAAAATTTCAAACAGGTGTTTATTTTTTAATTTTTATTTTATTTATTTTTTCTCAAACAGGTGTTTTTGATGCTTTTGGAAGATTGTAACAAGAAGGCATGCACTGCCCCAGGCATCAAGTTAGAGCCCCAGAGCTGGAGACCCTCTGGGCCACCCCCTGACTCCTGTAAGTACAGAGGGTGGTTTTGTGTCTCTGCTGTAGGACCCAGATCACGACCCTCATCTTTTGTTTCTGAAGCTGAACTGAGCTGGCCTGAACCAGTGGGAACATGGGGAGCGGGGAGTGAGGGGGTTTTTGTGTGAAGGCAAGAAGCTCAGGGATTTGTCTTGGCTAAAAAAAGACAGCTGTACATTTATGGGAGAAATTTATCTTTTCTGCAGACCTAGAAGTATCATAGCAGGACTTTCTCAAAAACAACTAACCCTGCTTGTCATGTGCTCCGTGAAGCACCAAGCTTCGAGGGCTGCATGTTTGGCTTCCCCATCCTGGGCTGATGGTTGGAGGCCACCTGCTGATATGGTTTAGGGAACTTGCAGGCATGTGCTTCGTTCCCACAGGGCTCTGTCCCTGGCAGCCCTGTCTTTCCTGTGCAGCTCTCCTTGTGCCAGCCTCAGCAATGGCAGAACCCAGGCTTGGTTCCCAGGGTGTGGCTGCGGCTCAGGAGGAACCCACCGCCTAGCATGTTTATTAGCAGGCACTCACCAGGGGTTGTAGAGCCTGGCTTGAGGGTGCAGAGGGCAGTGAACCTCAGCAGGCGCCTTCAGAGACCTCACCCATCCGGAATCCAGACCCGTGAAAGTATTCCTAGGGTGAAATATATTGTATGACTTTTAGAGGCTGCTTGGTGCATTCTTGCCTACACTCTTTGAGTGCTGCAGTTTCTCTACTTGTTTTCCAGCCCTTGCTATAATGACATTTAGTTGTATCTGTCTGTCTGTTTTCAAAATTGATGCTTAGTTGATTTCTCATTGAAATTTTCCCTTACAGTTCCCCAATGGTTATGTCAAGCATAACTTCTTTTTCTAACAGCATTGTTGGGATATAATTCACACAGCCCACATGGTACCTATTTAAAGTGTACAATTCACTGAGTTTTACACTTGTGCCCTTCCTACCATTCTCAATTTTAGACTTTTCTCCTTACTTTCGAAGAATCTGCACTCCACAACATATAGATACCTCCCTCATCCTCAGGAAACCTCTGACATACTTCCTATCTCTGTAGACTGGCCTCTTAAATCTATCATAGATGTAGTCTCACTTCGTTTTTCTCATTGCTGAGACAGACGCCTGATGCCCAGAGTTAGAAGAAGAGAGGTATATTAGGCTCACAGTTTGTAGAGATTTCAGTCTGTAATGGGTTGGCTCCAAGGCAGGGTGCCCCTGCAGCTGGGCCTCACAGAGGATAAAGAGCTCATGGTAGGCAGAAGGCAGAAAGCAGCTAGCAACAGGCAACAGTGGCAAGAGGAGTTTCTTTGTTTCCCTTAATATCTGATGCAGGTGCTACTCTAGGGCAGGTAGCGCTCACACCTGGCGCTGTGCCAAACCAGCTAGTGGGTGAATTTAGTGAGCACACACCCTTGATCCTTGCATGCCTAATCCCAGCATCACACACTCAAGATTCAGCCACCGAATCCACCCGTGGCCACGTGAGGCTTTGGGGGAGACATCTAGAAGCAAACCACGACAGGTGTGATCAGCTTTTGCGGTCAGCTTCATTCACCCAACAGAAGCTATCCAGGGTTTACTGACACAGTATATGTTGGTATGTTATTTCTTTTGATGGCCAGATAGTATTCCAGTGTTGTAAATCTATGCCAGATCCCTGTCCTGTTGTCAGAGGAGGGGTGTTCGGGTTGTTTCCAGTGTCTTGCTATTGTGAATATGCTGTGATGAACATTCACGTGCAAGCTGGTTTTCATGGCTGTGTGTTGGCTCTTGTGTGTGTCTCTAGGAGTGGAGTTGTTGGACCATGTGTGTAATCATTTGGGGAACTGCCAGAGAGCTGTCTAAGGTGTGTCACCTCGCCGCCAGCAGTGGGTGAGGGCTCTGCTTTCTGTCTCCTTGCTAACATCAGTGATTCCTAATACTGGGAGCCTTTTCAAGCACTTACTGGCTATTAGTAAATCTTTGAAGACGTGCTTCTTAAGATTCTTTGTTCATTTCTGAGGGAGGCTGGGGTTGTTTCGTTACTGTTGTTGAATGGTCAGAGTTCTGTCCATATTCTGGATGTAAGTCCCACCCCACTGTGCTTTACAGAACGGAGCAGCCCCATGTGTGGATTACTTGGTGTTCCTCACGGTGCTGTTTTGTTTTCTTTCTTGGCTGTCTGCCAGGTTGTCTCCTCCACCCTTGAAAGTGGGCCCTGAAGTTTCCTACTACTGTTCTAGATGCGTGGGCCTCTGCTTGGATTCCTCTAAGTGTTGGCTTCACATGTGTGGAGCCCTGACGTTTGCTCCTGTTGTGTCTGTAATTGTTACATCTTGGTGAGCTGATTTAATGAAAGGAGCATTTTCTCTAAGGACTTTTAGCAAAGCCCTTTTCTTCTGTTGTAACCAGTTTCCACTTAGGCTATTTGTCTGATATCAGCATAACCCTCCCTCTTCTGTCCGAGTCACTGTTCACCTGAAGTATCTTCCCCCACCTTGTCAGCAGACATGTCTGTGGGCCTTTTGTGGACAGCATATAGTTTAATCCCATTTTCTTAAAGCAGTGCTTTGAAACTGTGTCTTTTACTTAGACACTTCAGTCCATTTGTAATGGATTAAGAAGATTATGATAGAGTAGCACTTATTTTACTTTTTTTTGGTTTTCTGTATGCCTTATAACTATTTATCTTTTTCTCCACTACTGATTATTGTGTTCTTTTTTGTGAAGACATGCTTTGGTTCTATTCTTATTTCTTTTACTTTTCTTTCGTGGCTGGCTCAGCCTGCCCTGGGGGTGTGGCCGGCATGGCCTGTGGTGCTGGGGATGGTACTGTGGTCCCTGTGATTGCTAACTTTGCCTAAGCAGGCACTTTAGACCGCCAAACTATCTTGCCAGCCCATATTCTTATTTCTTTTTATGCATACAATACATATATTTGGCTTTATTTATCAAATGAACTGGTTATGCATAAAACTCTAAAGTTATGGTAGTCTATCTTAATACTAACTTCAATTACATATAAAAACTTATTACTTTACACTTTTACTCTACTGACTATATTATTGGTATCAAAAATTATATCTTTATATATTATATATCCAACATATCTAATAGTTATTTTTATGAGTATTGGCTTTAAATCCTGAAGAAAATATGAAGTAGAGTACAAAGCAAAGCCTAATGCTGTTAATTTTATATTTGCCCATGCATTTATGGTCTAGAAAAATTTTTATTTGAGCTGCCTGTGAGTTATTGTTTAGTATTCTGTCATTTCAACTTGAAAGGCTTCACTTACTATTTCTCGTGTGACAGCTCTTCTAGTAGTGTGCTTCTGTCGCTCTTGTTGGTGTGTAAATGTCTGACTTCTCTATCATGTTTGAGAGGCATTTGTGAAGGACAGAAGATATCATGTTACAGTGTTTCTCTGTCATTTACAGTAACCACCCACTGCCTTCTGGGAAGCAGGGTGCTCCTGAGATGATTGGCTGGTAGTCGTATTGGGGGAGTCTTCCTCTCTCCTTTTCAGGGTGCCTCCTTTTCCTCTGACTTTGGATAATTTATCATGTGTCTTGTGAGGCTTTGGGTTTCTATTACTTGGAGTTAGTTTATGGTTCTCATTGTATTTGCTTATCCCTGTTTCCTCAAATTTTGGGAAATTTGGGCCTTCTGTTTTACTTTCTCTCCTTTCTTTTCTGTAAATTTGAAAATTCAGGTATTGTCCACTCTATAATGTCCCATAAGTTTCTTTCTCTCTGACTATTTTACTTCTTTTTAAGAATAAAAATTTGAGGCTGGGGATATAGCTCTGTGGCATAAGCACCTGGCTGGCAAGTGCAAGGTCCTGAGTTCGATCCCCAGTACCACCACACACAGAGAGAGAGAGAGAGAGAGAGAGAGAGAGAGAGAGAGAGAGAGAGAGAATAGAGAGAGAGAATAAAAATTTGTTCCTCAGGCCCAATAATTGTATGTGAGTGTCCTATCTCTCACTGATTCTTTTATTTTCCTGCTCAAAGCTACTCTGCAACTTTTCTAGCGATGCTGTTTTTCAATTCAGTTATTGTACTTTTCAGTTCCAGACTTCCTGTTTGTTTCTTTTATATTCTTAAAATAACTTTCTATCTCTTCATGGATATCTTGTGTGGTTCATATATTGTCTTCCTGATTGCTTTTATGTCTTTGCCCAGCTTTCTCTTCAGGTCTCTGGGAATATTTGGGGCAATTATTTTTAAATCTTTATTGGCATGTATGTCTTCAGGACTGTTTCTGAAGATTGCTTTGCTCCTCTGTGGGGAGCAGGCTTACCTGTTTTTTTTGTCATGTGTGTGTCTCTGTGTGTTACCATTTACTACAACTTGGCACTGACTGCAGCAGCCAGTCCTCCCCACCATTGTGGACTACCATGAAGACATCAGCCAAGAAGTGGCTCTTGCATCTTGGGTCCTGCTGGGAAAAGCCTTGTGGAATTCGCAGTTCTCTTCTGGGCCTGTGTCCTTTCTGAGCTTCCATCCACACATACTCTTCCTCTCTCCAGTTTCCCTTGGCCTCTCTTCAGTGCCTCATTTTCTCAGTGCCCCTCACCCTGGCGCATTTTTGGGTTCCAGATGCTCCAGTGTCCCCCAGCCTCTTTCCCTCTCACCCCAGAGGTCTGCACGTCTGCCCTCCTCCTCAGTTTTCATATAATGTTGTGCTGCTGGCACTTTCGGGGTTCCCAGACTGAGACCTAACCTCGGATGCCATTCATACGTCATTGCCACGGCAGGTGATACAAACCAGTCCCACGGTCAGTGCACAGCCAGGCCAGCGCATGATAGTGCCGCTCTTTCTGTCCCAAAGGAGGGACGAAGGGTGGACCTTTTCCTTATAGCCCCACCCAAATGGGAAGGCAAGGAGGGTCATACAAAGCGCCACAGCTCCCACTCTGTGTGTGGCTTTCTTCTCCTATTTCCACTGTGGGGACACTAGGAGTTTGTTTGATTTCTTAGACACTGATTACAATAGCTTCTATAGAGTGTGTC